GGGGCCCGGAGGGAGGGCTGGGGAGGGAGGGATGGTGATGGTAGCCAAACCAAATCCACCCATGCCAAAGTGGATAAGCATGTTTCTTGATTAAGATACTTGAGAAACCATGATTTACTTACCTGTATTCCAACAATTACAAGCTTCTGAAGAGCAACATTAAGCTGTCTTTGTTTGCTGCAGAAACCAATCAAATTTTTAAATCAATTACATAAAAGTAAAATAAATGGATTTAGGGAAATGCTTAATTTAGAAAATAAGTTTACCGAGACATGAGTGGGCCACTCACTCTAACCCAAAGTTACTGCATGGTGACAAACCAAACCAAGTCAACCACTTAGTCTTTTTTTAGCATCCAAAACATCCATAGAGTAGATATAACTCTTTTATATAGTGTTTGCTTCTTATTGACTTGTGGTATTCAACACACCCACACAGTCCCAACTCAAGTAACCACTAGCCATTCTTATTCACTTGTTGTATTCAACACACCAACACAGTCTCAACTAGTAACCACTAGTCATTCTTATTCACTTGTTGTATTCAACACACCTACACAGTCCAAGTAACCACTATCCATTATCAATAAGTCAACCGACACTAAAGATGTCTACAAGCAAACTTATTGTAAATGAAATAAACAGTTATCTTCAATCATTGAGTTAAGAACATTCAAGACACTTACTTTTCATAATCTTCATGTAGTTTTTTCAAAGCAGCACTCTTGGCTTCCCAGGGAGCAGAGTATAGTTTCACTAGCCTAACAAGTTCATTTACTGGTACTGCTAAATCAGATGCCCTGAAATAAACAATACCAATAATATAAATTAATGTTATTAAATTTGGTACATATTTTTATAGGAATTACAGCCATATAAAGTTTACAAAATGGTGGGATAAAAACCATCCAGTGAATGCAGAGACATGATAAGAAAATAGCTGTTTCTTGAATGATAAAAGAGTCTTACCCCCTAAATAAATTTGACGTTACTAAAGTGAACTTGACTAATAAGCTAGGAGGTAGAGCATGCTGCAATAAAAGATAATTATGAACAATAATTAGCCTTGTACATATTACCTAAAGCTTAAACAATAACTCAACTATTATCTTTATAGTTAATTTGTACCATGGCTAGCATCACATAAATTACATCTGTAACTGGATGTTGAGTCATGATTGGAAACCATTATAGCATGCTGTTAAACAAATTGCCAGAGAGGCAAATTAAGGTGTGATTGCACAGAGTAATTTTCTCTGCACTTGTTTGGTAACAGTGTTATGACACAAGTTATGTGAGGGTTTTTATGTTGCAGCAAAGACACATCCATTTGCCAAAAGTAGAAACAATTTTTACTTTTTGCAACAATTACTGCTACTTGTCTCACGACATTTTCCCCCTCATAGGTTCCATATAGATTACACGCTGTAATACTCCATGCAACTTGTGTCCAATGCAATTGCAAGACAAGTTGAAGAGAAAATTGCTCTTCGTAATCACACCTTTAACAATGCCCTTTTGGTCCATAAGTTAAATAGCGTTATCTGCATTTACAATGATAGGAGTCATCAGACTAATACTAGAAACCAGTTTTAAAACCGTTTATTTTTTAGGTACTGTATGCACCTAATGCATGTGAACAAATGTAATTTGATGTCACAGCTGGCAAAATCATGTGGAGGATTTTGACAGCGTTGCTAAGTTAACGTTAATCCACGTATTTATGAAAAATTTACTGTAACATCCCACATCGGCAGATTCTATTTCAACCCCTCAATAAGTACCAAAGAAAAAGAGACTCTGCTAGTATACAGTAGTATCAGGCTAATGACCCATGAATGGACAGATAAAAGTATGACTTGGTCATTTTATTAAATAGTTATATCAACTGTTTACCTTAATAAGCTCATCTTTTAATGCCAGTAGCTCTATCATAGAGACTTGAAACAGAGCTAATGAATTCTGAACACCTGCACACAGTGTTTTAAACTTTTCTTCTTCTTCTGAAACTTGACTTTTCTATCATTAAAAAAAGTTATAATCACTATCAAGAGTAAATTCATTCACTTTTGATTGCCAAGAGACCAGTATGGCTGTATAATGTAGTAGGATTGGCATGTAGAATAATGATATTTCAGAACATACAATCCAGACACAAATGCTATAGTTACAGCCTGGCTTAAAATTTGCCATATCATTTCGCTATAGGAATGGCTATAACATAAGACTGAATTGGCTTTGCAGAGGGAGGAAAACTGAAGAACTCAGAGAACAACCCTGATGAACCAAGGAAGACACCTAACAAACTCTACCCAAATGCAATACTGAGTCTTTGAATTAAACCCATGCAAACCCACAGAGGTTAGAGGTGGCTGTACTACCACTATCAGCTATCAGGGGCAAATCCAGGAATTCTTAGTAGGATGTCACAATTATAAAGGAATATTATGCATCACTTTAAAAAAGCATAAGTCTAGTACCGTAATATATTACTTCGCTAGGGAAGTCTGGATCTCACTTATCTCTTTGATTAAACAAATATAATTATTTGTTTCATCTACAAAATTAAAATGGTCATTTAACAGTTTTTTAAACATTTACTTCAGCTGCGGAACTCTCAGCAGTAGGATCAGCTCTTTGCATTTCATGAGATTGTCCATATTCTGGCACACTTTCAAGGGATTGAGCCACCTTTTTCAATATACCACCTGTGAAAATTATTAAAAGTGATAAATCACATTTGACCCAGAATATAACAATAAAATCTATCTCATAATTATCCATCGACATATATAAAAAAAATTATAATCTCCAATTTTTCAACTTCTAAATTCTAGACTACTAGTTTATTAACTAGAAACAAAATAACAGGGGGAGATAATAGAAAACTAAAGATAGAAAAGACCTGAGTTTTATTCTAGCTTTATAAAGTTTTTGAAAGTTTAATGATCATATTGTTATTGTTTTACCTGAGGTTCGTTTTGATTGTCCTGTACTTGGTTTTGTTAAACCACCTTGAGGCTTTGACTTTTCCACCATTTTAAGCCAGTAAATTCGTTAAAAGAATTGACGACAATGATATCTTTTTCTCAAAAAATAAAGGAATTTCCTTTTTTGTGTCCTAAGATTGAAAGAAAGTAATAAAACTTACACTACAGTACTAATGAACTGATATACTCTATTATTAATGGACGCCATATTGTTCTTTTGCTGAATATCGTCATGGTAACGTGACCTGTGACTCAAGCATGTGACGTCAAAATAAAACAGGTAGCCCATGTTTCACCATTCAAGTTCCCGTGCCGGTAGCCCAGTCCTGTCTCCGCACACATTTTATTCACACCCCTATTTCAATAAACGTTGTCATCGCCCAAGGCGATAGGCAATAGGTCATTTCGATATGGAAATGGTTTCGTTGAATACAAAGAACATTGATTCAGTCTCAACACTATTTTCCACGTTCTTGACGAGAATAAGAAGCAGAAACACAAGCTATTCCAGCTACTCTCATGTATTTGAATAAACGTTTTTTGAAATAGGCGTATACTTAAAAACGACTTTTCCTGCTCAGATAGTTTTTTATGAGAGCTAGCATTCTTTATTTATGCTATTGTTTTACACTAGTACACAATTTATGATTTTTTATTTTTAAATGTCCTTGAAGAGGAGGAAAGTTAGTGGAAGTCTGTCGCGATCGACGCAGCAGGAGTTAATTGATAAAGAGGGATATAATTAGCACTAATAATGCATCATTAATGAGGGAGTATTACTTCTTATCTGTTCTCGTCCCACATTCATAAAGGGGGGATTTCATAGAGATTAAGCATGGCTCTGGAAACAATGGATCACTGACCAGGTGATCCAAACATCTTTGCACCACGGAAAGAAGGAAACCGTACGGTGTGTCTAGCGAGTCTCATTGCACTCATTAGCAATATTTTAGCCTATTTTCGTTAATTATTATGAGTGCGTGCTATTACCAGGTAGTTTTCAGTATAGGTATCTGAGATTTTTAGCAATGCCAGAAACTTTAGAACTTACAAACTTGGAGGCAAAAGTGCAAAACTCGAAGCTTATCAACAGGACTACTTTGATTGATTTCTGATTCAAGCCCTCCTAGGCATCTCATAATTAAAATAAGAAATCCTTGGTTTCAGTACAAAACACTGAACAAGCACACCAAAAGAGGTCAAAACGCAAGCAGATGTAAATTCTGGAAAGAAACAAAATTAGTATAGGTTCGTAAAAGATCTCAAAACATTCCGATAAATACCGAGTGACTAATCTAAATTAAGAACACGAGCAATAACCTACGCGCGTCGCGTCAACGAACGCCGGATTTTTGTAAATCTGACTGACTTTCTGTAGAAACTTAGTTATTAGGTATGAATATAATATGCGACAGAATGTCTACTGAAGACAGTAGAAAAAAGAAGTTAACTGGTCCCGTACCTCTAGATGAGTCGGGATGATTCTTCAGTCATTACCTGCGTGTCAATGTTCAGTTCTTAGTAGGGGTTTTTAAACAGGTGGTGTTCATGATGTGGAATTGAACTGAGGATGCGCAAATCATTATCAATTAAGGTACGTATAAAGTCTTAAGTGTAATAGGCTTAAGTTGTATAATGATTAAAAAAAACACTGACTTCTAAAACATACTTGAGAAATGTCTTTATACGATCTATAGTTTAGATTTTGATGTTTTGATGACGTCATGTGAAAACCAGCAATAAGAAGGCCAACCTTGCCAACCATTAGAAAGTTAAGCTCGTAAAAGTTATGATGCATCGCACCAAGGGCATAATTATCCCTCCCTTAATCCTGTTGAAAGATGGCGGCGGCCAAACATCAAAGGATATATAAGAAAATTTCTCAAACATAGTACGCAAAGCAACTGGAACCGTTAGGTCTAAGGCAGACCGCGCTTATTTTTTCCTCTCGCGTAGGGGTCATGCAACCGTTAGGTCTAAAAGACATGCATAGCTCGCAGTATCTAACGCGGGTTTAAGCTTACTCATATTATGTACAGCGGTAAATAATATAAGAATTGAAGATAATCCCCCCCCCCCCCTCCCCAACCTCTGCCATCTGTGTAAAAATAGAAATCAAGCGAACAGCAATGAAAATCATTAAGGTACAACAAGAAAAAAATTGTAACTAATACTGAGCTCTGAGGCACACCACAAGAGATAGTTTAGAACTTCCCTCCTGCAACTTGCCTCACAACGATTTGTTTACCCAATTTACCCCATACCATTAGGTTTGAAAGTTTGAAACATCATCTAGTATAACGTCCCCTGTCGTGGCAATAGTCCACCTCCTAGATATGCTTCGCTTGTCACGCACAAAGGTTTCAGTATGAGGCTACGTGCTAAATGCTATGTCATTCGTGACAGGCGGTAAGAATTAATTTAGTTTAGCACGTAGCCTCATACTGAAACCTTTGTGCGTGACAAGCGAAGCATATCTCGCAAGTGGGCTATTGTAACGCACTTTTCTTTACCCTGGTCCCAGAGGCTCAACGATTATTCTCCAGGCCAAGTATTTTCCCGCCACGTATTTTGAGCCGCGAAGCGTCGAGCGAGATGCGAAGCTATAACAAAATTGCCACACACACCGCAGAGAAGAAACTAGCCAGTGGGATCTTTGCCTAATCACTGCAATGTTGCGTGGTATAAATTAGTTTCACAAAGTTGTCAGCTCACTATGGAATATCCCAAGAGTCACTAGTATTTTCTAGTACATACACGAGCCTTTACAAAGAAAATACAAGTGACAAGTGGGACATTCTATTACATGCCACGAGAAAGCATTGAATAACTAGTATTTATGTTCATCCATAAGCCAGAAAATGAAAATCTTTTTAAAGATAACTACACCACAAATTGGACAAAACACAAATATTACCAACTTTAATGTCACTGATAGCATATACCTTCAGGTAAGCCACCTTTAGCTCTTTGAATAGTTAAAATGAAACATATGAAGATCTTAATTTTCAGTCTTTACATTCAAACATAGTACTTTGATCTTAGTGTTTTTAGATGGGAAAATGTCAATGTGGTTATACCTTATATGTCTGATAAGATTGGTCTTGAAGTTACATATACCTTAGACGACAGATCAGCATGTTTAAAGCTGCTTATTGACTCTAATTACTCAAAAATTATGATTTTAATGCCTTTTTTTTTGATTTCTTCAAATCCTTCCTTTATTATGTTTAAGCATTTTAAGTCATCTTCAAATCTAACATACAGTCATTGTCTCAGATGTTTCTGTCTCATTATAATCAAAAATAACATTGCTTTTGATGGTGTAAGGTCACTTGTTCTTATAGTCTTCAGTGAAGTCTTATTGAAGGACTAGACCAGTCTACAAAAAGAAGATAAAAGTAACATTTATGAGTCATATCACTTCCAAGGCAGAAAGACAAAGAAAGGGGAAAGGATGAGTGAGGGAGAGGGGAGGGGGGTCATCATGCCTTGTCTGGTTTAATGGTAGGGCACTTCCAGTTATAGAGATAGTACTGCAGATTGCCATCCCCAATGCCAAATTTGAGCTTCTCAAGGAACTCCTTGTTGTCCATCAAATCCAAAGCATTGTAAACGTCAAAGCCAGCCTAAGATGAAGGATTTGAGAATTACTTACAAAATATTAGACTTGCTAGCAAGTTTCTTTATCTTGCTTGGTGACTTTTTAGCGTTTACTTCATGTTTGCATTGGTTAATAGCCCCACACTGGATATTTCCAATACAGCTCGATTCAGTGAGGACAAAATAATACAATCTAAGGCTAAGGTCAAACGCCAAACTTCACGTGAACCGAACCTATTTGAAACAATGGATAACAAGGCAGTCTTCTTCAATGTAATTAGGTTCGGCTCATGTGAAGTTCGACGTTTGAACTGAGCCTTTCTCCCATGAGAACTGAAATTTATAGTTTTGTGATCTGAGTTGAACGGCTCTTGGAATTGCTAAAACCGGTCAATACATCATCTTTGTTTTACAAAGTAGCATTCAATGCACTGGTTCCTAACAACCTATAAGGCGTCATTTTTGATTTGACTCATTCCCATCAAATTTGAGGGGCACTTTGCATGAATACAATAGTTTTCATGTGCAGTGAAGGATATAAATATGTTTATAAAATAACTGTTAGAAATCTCGCGTTTTGATTGATTGGGAGTGATTGCTTTATGAGAGCACACAGCACCGCGTGCACTTTTAGCTGCTTCATTTCTATCAAAAATGAAGGTTATTGTAGTTTGTATGTTATAAAAGTAAAAAAAGTTGCTTGCTGTGCTGTGTGCAGTTTTGAAGCACAAAAGTGCAAGAAACTACATGTCATGTGTGTAGCTGCATACGCATAACTGCACACAGCCACTGAATTAGTGCAGTGTATATATTTGGAATTTTTGAAACGCAATTGAAAATGCTATGTTGAATTTGCAATATATAAATAAATATTATTATTATAGGGGTGAAAGGTGGTCTATAGAGGCGAAAGGCCAGGGAAAGATAGTAGAGCCTTGTGTTACTGGTGTAAAACAATTCACAAAATACCAAATGTGCAATTCGTGTGATATCGGTTCCCTTGTGAAAATAAATGTGGAATTTCCATATCAGCCACTGATTGAGAAATTTCCAACTCTAAAAACAGAGAACTCAAGAGCTTTTGACAAATTATCATAGGCAGAAGAAACTAGCCATCATAAAAAAATAACATTATCCATACCTTTTTAGCTAAAATCAGTGCATCTTGCATGAGCTGAACTAGAGGAACGCTTGTAGAAACATTATAAAAAGAATAAGCAGCTTTGAGCTGTTTGTGAACAGGGTGGTGCATCACTGTTGATGGAAGAGTGTAGAAACTGATAAAACCTGTTACAGTATCATCATCATCCTGAAATTTAGAACACGGAAAAAAAAAAACAAATGGTAAGAAAACAAAAAATAGGCATAGATTTCTATAGGTTTATCATATCACTTTGCAAAATACCTTGGAAATACAGTCAACTCTCATTAGGAAGAAATAAAAGCTGCTCAGAGACGAAGATAATAATATATCAGAATAACTGTAATGTTTTCTTCACTTAATACAAATTCGAATACCTGCACAGAATAACTATCAATGATGCCTGGCCTTGGGGTAAACCAATGTCTAAACTCCTCCTGTTATCAAGAAAAAAAGATCACATATATTAATGGACAAAAAAATTTATGTCAGTGGGTAGATGGTACGTGTAATCTGGTCGAAGGCAGGTGGTGGTAGGGTGCCAGGGCATTGATGGAAGCTGCTTGTTAGTAAGGTGATGACAGTGGGTAGATGGTATGTGTGACCAGGTTGAAGGCAGGTGGTGGTAGGGTGGCAGGGCATTGATGCAAGCTGCTTGTTGGTAAGGTGATGATAGTGGTATGAAGGTACGTGTGGTCAGGTTGAAGGCAGGTGGTGGCAGGGCATTAATGGATGTGTGAGCTGCTTGTTGGTAAGGTGATGACAGTGGGTGTGAGCAGGTAATTGGTGGCGGTGGTAGGATGTCAGTGGTGAGGATAAAGTGCCATTTTAGTGGGTTGATAGCAATGTCATGGATAATGGCAGTACGTTACAGTAGGTGAAGTAGTTACATATAGTAGTAGTTACGAATAGTGACGTTTCAGTGGGATGACAATAAGGTGTCAGTGGGTTGGTGGCAAAGTGTCAGTAGGTTGTTGGCATATTATTTATGTCATTATAGATTTAAAAAATCATGGATATGAGTAGGATCTGCAACTCACATGCCATCAGTGGGTTTATGGTAAGGTGTTGGTAGTAGGTTTATGGTAAGGTGTCAGTGGGATGACAGTGATGTGTCAGTAGATTGATGGTAAAGTAAAAGATTGTAAGGTATCATATCAGTGGATTGATGGTAAGGTATCAGTGGCTTGGTGCTTAGATGTGAGGGGGTTGTTGGTAAAGTGACTGATGTTATGGTGGGAGTGGGTTCAAGTGAGTTTTTGGTCACTATCATAGTAATTGAATTTTGATTAATTATTTAATAATTAATAGCAAAAAAGGAGCAAAACAAGAAATAAGGTAAATTTACCTCTGTGAATTCTGGAGCAAGGTCAAACTTTTTGAGGTACTGAAAAAATAGCAAAATAATGTTTAAAGGAAAAAAACTACTTTGATACTTGTTGCAGGGAATCCTTGAAATTATCTTTATATAAATTAACTCAATGCATTTAAATTTATAATAACTATAATAATATAATAATTAAATGTAAATATAATATAGTAATTAAATTTATATTAACTCAATGTACTTAAATTTATAATACAAACCTTGGATACAACTTTGAAGGCACCCAACATTGTATCCTCACTTAACAGCTTTATACCACTTGTTTCTGGTTTCTAAAAAATATATATATTAACGACCCTGTCACAGCTCTGTTTAACAAAAAAATCTGTGCCTTTAATAGAGGGGTGTTGGTATTATGCAGTATTTGACAGTCACTGTACAAAATGATGTAAAATGATCAAGAGTCTTACCTCAGGGAGTCGATACAGTTTCAATGTTCTCTGCATGGTCATATTCCTACTTAGGTGGGAAAACTTCACGTCAATCAACTTCTTGGGATTCAAAGACCTGTGCCAATACCTAAATCCAGAAGAAAAAAGATTTACTTTGTATTTATCATAACTCACAAAAATGTACATGATGTATTTTGAATGTGCTTAAAAAGATGTTTTGTTATGAACTTCAGTTTAGTGACCAGAATTCAACATTGATTACATAATCATATTTTTAATGTCCATACTCTTGGACAATGRTTACAGCTTAATGCCCAAACGTATGACCACCGATTACTTATTTGCACACTTTCATGTTGGCCTTCATCCAATAATTTATCATGCAAATTAGCATGTATAATATGATCAAATGCGCGTAATTCATGCCATGAACCAAGCCAAGCAAAGTTTTAATCCAGTTAATCATGCCCCCTACTCCAAATTATAAAAAGATTTATTGGAGCTCTGAGTAAAAGTAATTAAAAACTCACCTGCAGCATGCAACAGGCTTAGGCAGTACTACACCAGCAGTATAGACTGCTTGGAAGATTCCCTCAATGTTCACCCGCCTTGTTATCTCACGGATCAGTACTGGTGCGACGCGTTTTGAGCGTAACTTCTTGTGCACACACAGAAAATTTATCTCAACCATCAACATAGTTCTGGAACAGTTAAAACACAACTAGTTAGACTTACATTGCATTTAAAGCTTCCCAAATGAGCAGTGTTATGGACGCCTAATGGTTAAAAACAAACTTCACATTTTTGATCAAAATAGTCAGGGTATGCCAGCTAACTTGCAGACAGGATTGAAATTTGAGGAACCCAGAGAAAAAAACTTAAATCAAGGGAGAGACCTAACAAACTCTACTTATATGTGATGCTTCCTCCAGAAATCAAAGCCTAGACCCCAGAGGTTAGATGTGAGAGGTACTGTAAGTGTACTACCACTACGTCTCCCTCTACTTTTACGTCTCTCTCTACTACTTTTTAGATATGGGAAACATGTCGTGCACTGATAATATATTTCCTTTCTTTACTCAATAGGGATTGATAGATGGTTTGGCAGTAGTCTCCAGATTAATGGACTCCTTGCACTGAATTGTCCTGGGGGACAAAAAATAAGGCTACAGGTCTTTTCGTGTGCAAAAAAATTACATTGTTTTGTCCCCCAGAACAATTATTCCTCTTGGAACTCAGCCCAATGGGTCTATTGGCAAGCTAGACTCAGTGTGTAGAGTTTTTTTTTTTTTTAATTTCAAAATATTTTTTCCCAATACTTACTTGTCATAAATCCTTACATGAGCTGGAATAGCACTGATAAAGCCAACTAACTTTTTATTTGAGGCAACTCTTACACCACAGTGCCACTGTTGCTTCCATCCAGGTGGTTTGAGAGCCCTGTGGATTACAAAGTTGTACAGTCAGACTCTTGCAAGATTGATAGATGCAACAGATCAATAATAATCAGAGAAAAATGCAAAAGTTTTTTGAAGGCAAGAAACCTGCTAAAATAGAATGCATAGTTGCTTAAAATACACATACCACCCACCTCCCACAAGGAGTGGGGCTATATGCTACTGTAGATCCTATTCTTCCAAGAAAGGTCCACATAAAACCTTTAACCCTTGACTAGGAAACTCAAGCTTCCTTTTGGTTAAAAGATGTGGAAGGAAAAGGGAGATTTCTTATGAACTTTTGTATGATCGTATATCCCTAAAAATTTGTTTACACATGACAATTACTAACCAAAGAAGGAACTCAGAAGAATAATCAAATCTGAACATATTGTCATCATCTTCAACATAATTTTCATTCAGTAGTGTATAAAGCTCTTTAAGCTGTGAAAGTATAAATGTCAATAAGCAATAATTTCATTAATAAGCAATATAACCATTTTTTAAATCCAAGAGAGAGGATATACTCCTACTATTTTTGGATTTTTTCAAACACAGTAATTTGTGTGTAATCTAGTTAGCTCATAAGGAYATCCTGGTATTGGTCTAATAGACTCCTCTGCTCAGGCGTAATGTTGTCCCATTTCAGACCATGTGTCATTCCCTAGAGTATCATTTCTTTGTTTATCGGTTGCACATGAGAAGACACACGAATATGGATATAACTCCAACAAAGAATCGTATTCTCAAGGGAATGAAACGTACTTTGAAATGGGACAACAWTACACCCAAGCAGAGGAGGTCAATCACTATAGCTGTTTCAAGGTTGAGGAAACAAATGGGTTGAGTTGGCATTACAGTGCATTGTGGGACTGTTTTAGGGGATGAAATCAATGCCATCTTATACTGTAGAATGTCCCCCTGTAAAGCCAAAATCAATTCTCATTTTTTCCCTMAACCTTGGAGCAGCTAATATGTCTTAGGTACCAAATCAATTACATGAAAAAGAAGAAATCACAAACAAACGTCAATTCACAATCATATAATCAAGCAATTCATATAACCTTAGATATTTAATAATATGCGATCTTTAAAAAACTCATCAGAAAATGCTAGTCTCAGCTTGATGCACTACTTATAGGCACAAAACAATACTAAAACAAATCACAGACAAGCAATGGCCAATTAATTCATAATTTGCTCGCCTAGACAGGGCTAATAATAGTAGCCAGTTATCAGACATGTTTCAGACAGATATGGAACTTGTTCTATCAAATATTTGCCTTGCCAATTATTTTGACCAGTAAAGTTGAGCCAGAAATGAGTTATGTACAACAGATTTGGCTAACCATCATGACTAGCAACTGACCAGCCATTATTTTTAGGCTGTATTCATAATGTATGGTAGAGGGGGAGGGGGGCAGGTGAAATCTTTAAATGACAAAGAACCCCCTCGAAGTTCCCTAGAAAATAGCTAGCCCCCTCCCTCCTCCCCCAATTTCCTAGTAAATTTTTTTTCCAATCCCCCCTTAATTTCACCTGCCCCCTCTGCCATATATTATGAATGCAGCCAATAGGCCCCTTCAGAGCTTTGATGGATGAGAGCCAAATTWAAAAAAAAATCTTAAGCAAAGTGTGTTTTTATAAATTACAAATAAGTGAGCAATATAACTTACGACATCCGGGTTGCTTATGTCTAAAGTATCCCACTCAAAACCATCTGGTAAAGAATAACATTCTTGTCTGATTTCTGAAGTTGGCTTATCTTCCTCTATAGGTCCAAATTCTCGAACTTCTTCATCTGAATTAAGAAAAAAAAGAAACAATACTCTCAAAGTAAGTTTACCTACAATCTTATCCCTCATACCAAAGAGCCCTATTAATATTTTAAACTTTTACAAACAGTAAGCCAAAAAAGGTACTCTATTTTCTCAATTATAATTTATTACCACTCTTTGCATTGCTACATGATGATCGAGACAACAGTCGTGACAGGGAAATGGGCAATACACTCCCGTCAATCAAATCAATTGGTTAGTACCTTCATATTCTGTGATTGGTGGCAGTGTTGCCCTATTTCCCTGCTTGGACTGTTGTCTCAATCAGTGCGTAGAAGTGAAAAGAGAAGAGGTAAAATAACTTTCTATTGTCAATTATAAAAAAAATATGTACAGTACAACTTGTGCATCTTTAATTTCTTTCTTTTTGCCATTATAAAAAGGAAAAGCTATATTTAATATTGTTAATTTTTTTCAAACTCGATGACTTTATTGTGACACAAAGAGTTGAGTGCATTTTTGTATGGCAGCTCATTAACGTGCAAAATGGGAAAGAAAAATTACTCCCTGAAATGAAAAAAAAAAACCCACTAAATTCTTAGTTACAATCAAAAAACGATAATTTTTAAACTACTAACGATTAAAAGATAGTAAATTAAAGTCCCCGCTCACCAAGTTTAGGTACTGGCTGAGTGTCCCAGAATTTATACTTTTTTTTCTTCGCCTCCTCTGTAGTCTTTGGCGGCTTAGCTTCCGTTATTTTCATCGAATCTAGAAGTTTCTGTATATTCTTTATCTGGCTTGCACTAGGTTTCTGTGAGGCTGCAAGGTCGTGTTCATGGTCGTGGCCAGAACAGCCGTCGTGTTCATCGTGTCCATGATGATGATCATGCTCATGTTCACAGCATTCCTTTTTACCCTTCTTTTTCTTCTTCTTCTTCTTAGCGCTCACTGATTTACCAGCAGGTTGTTCATTTTCACTTGGAGGTTTTAGCCGGCCGTTGATGTTGGGATAATTGCCTTTTTGGGGGGAGTTATTGTCGATTGATTGAGCTTCCTCCACGTTTTTCTCAGCAGCCGATGCATCCGCCATCTTGGTGTGACAGATGCTAAACTTAGGCTCTCTCGGAATTCAAGTCACAGGGTCACCAATTAATAGAAAAATCATTATCATATGAGAAATAATTCATATAGATGTTAAAATCTGTTAAAATCAAATTCATAACATCCTTAGCATTTTTCCTAAAGCGAAGGAGTACATGAATAATGTAAAGTTAAACAAAATATGACGTGAAAAAATTATTATTTTTTTTTTTAGAATGTCGGTTGTTATATTTTTTTATTATCTGTATTGCTTTAGAAAAATCGAAAATATAAAAGAGGGAGATAAGGAAGGCGAAGAAAAAAAAGAAAGAAAAGAAAACTGGATGATTTTAAAATCGGCCTGGAACTCCTGTGTACAGTTGCCGAGAAGTCCTGGTTAGGCTGAGTGACGTCACAGATTGTTGGTTGCACATGGCAACCATCGAATGAAGCGAACAGAAAACAACAATCGAGTCGAATAAATATCCGAATACTCTACGCTAAAATGGCGAGTATTGTCGCTAGAAAGAGTCAAGAGAAGTTAGCTGATTCTCTATTCAAAAAAACACACTGTGAGTATCAGAACCAAGAATTTAGATTTAGAATTTTTATGGAGATCAAATGTTTTTTCTGGAAGTTCAACCTGTGCTCAATCGAATCATGTTGATTGTCATATTCAGTTTGCAAACAAGAAGTGTTGAATTTGCTGTCGATGTTTTCTGAAGAAGTAAAACCCAAAGACAAAATGGATCGAACAAGCTTCAGGGAAATCCTTCGAACTAGATTTAGCATGACCGACGATATGCTGATGGACAGAGGTAACCCCCTTTTTTTGTAAATCACTGTGTCATTATTTGCTGTCCCCTTAATTCTATTAAATGCGAGCAACCCTTTACAGAGTATTGTAAGCTATAAGGGAATGGAAGAGACTTAAGTTCCAGGAGCCCATGCATCCTAGCTCTCAAAGGTCCTTGAAGTGCTTTTAATAGGTGGCGATATTTATTGAATGTTACAAATATGGAAGCATGATTATGAGAGTTAGCTGCCCTAGGGTTGCAGCAATGTCACATCAGATCAGTGTCATGCTATGAATGTACTTTGCCATATACAAGTAGTGCCTTAGAATTCTGGTTATAAGCCCTTCTGGTCATAACCCCTCCAAATTATAAGCCCAGCCATCCGTTGGACTGCGAGCGATCTCACTTTTCCCACCAGACTCAGTCAAAACTCATCATGGTGATAAGTTTGGCCTGCTGCTGAGTGCCAGGCTGCATTGGGTGTTCACACCTAACGTTTCCCTTTGCAGAGGTGACCATGGCAACCAGGCCACAGTCCACCTTGCACCCATCACACCTTAAGAGGTGGAGATACTTACCATATCACAACCTTACTCCTCCGAAGTTTAGAGGTGAGGGGGAGGGGGAAAATTTTTACGGATGCTTAACCAAACAACAACACAACAACACAACAACAAAGCTGCCACACTGCAAACCCTGCCAATACCCCTTAACCACTATGAATGAAATGTACATCCACCGGGAATCTTAAAACAATCACCTTTACTAAGTTTGGAGGGAAAAGTGGGACAGCTCACAGTCTAGTCTAGTCATCTGCTAACAGAGACTTCCTTATCCAGTCATAAAACAATCCAACCCCCTCCCCCCACCAGGCCCACCAGCTAGTCCAAGGTTTCTAGTTGAGCTGGCTCATTTTTTACATGACTTGAAGTTGTGAAAGGCCCATTGGCCCTCTTCTTCAGTCGTTTCATACAAGGCTTGCAATTTACCTATTACGCATGTTCTTATAAGGCCTTTACACATGACTTTAAATGGTGCAATATGTAATGCTTTTTTTCAGTACCAAGCCATATCATTATCTCTAACCTTACATGTAAATATGATCGCAATATCTGTGTTCAGTTTACAGAGCATTTGACAAAGATACAGATAGTTTTATCAAAATGGAAGACTGGATTGTTGGGCTTTCTGTATTTTTAAGGGGAACTTTGGAAGAAAAAACAAAATGTAAGTCTTGATGAGTTCATTAAAACAAGGTCCTCATAAATATGTAATGGGTGGTTCTGGAAACTATCCATATCCCACCTACTAAGGAAATTGGAAATTCTGGAGGCGAGGTTAGAAAAGACCAAAATTAGACTTTGTATAAAGAAAATTGAAAGTCCCTGGGGGTAGCTAGTGGGGTCCTTTTACAAATTCTCTCCATGGTGGGTATGGATTTTTCTGGAACTACAATATGTAGTTGAAGACCACTTTTAATTATCGTGAAAAATTGTATTTAAATTTGTTTGTTTACATTTTCTTGTGTAGTAATGCAATTCATATTTATTTTTACTTTCCAGTTTGTTTTGAGGTTTATGATTTAAATGGTGATAATTATATATCAAAAGAGGAAATCATGCAGCTTTTAAAAAATACCATTATCAAGGTAAATGCACGTTCAATAATAAAAAAAGTTTAACAGCTCAAATGTTGTGCAAACCTATTGTAATATTTCTTTGGAATTAGCTTTCAATTCTCTCATTGAACTTGGCGTCTTTGGTTGTTTTTTTTTATTGGATTAAGTATAAACTGTGTCCAGTATAAAAGAAGCCCAAGAATGAGAAGTGTTGACAATTTGGGAATGTCTTCTTGACAAAACGACAATTTCGTACTATGAATTTAGCCCCCTTCTGAAACTCAAAAACTTGTTCAAACTTTTTCAGCAACCAACAGAAGAAGATCCTGATGAGGGGATCCGTGAACTAGGTGAAATCATTATTAAAACCATGGTAAGTTAAGATATAGCTATACCCTATGTGTTCATTTGCCAATAAAATTATCAGTCTGAGAATAGGCCTGGCGTATATCCCAGCAGCCGAGCATAAACATCAATACCTGGTTGAGCCATCAATTACCGGCGTTTGCATTGCTATGCGGCCACCCCAGACAAAAATTGTGATGTGCACTTTGCAATAGACTGCCGTCAATCAAACACCTTGACGCCATTTACACGCATGATTCAAAAGGCCCCAAAACTTCGGTCGATTGTTTATAAGTATTATGAGCCACACTCACCGGGCCTATCCAGGCCGATCCAAACGCGTGTAAATGACATCAACTTGTTTGATTGACAGCAGTCTATTGCAAAGTGCACATCGTRATTTTTGTCTGGGGTGGCCGCGTAGCAATGCAAACGATGGTAAGCAATAATTAATTATTGTAATTATTAATTGCAGCCACTGTCAGTTATCGTCAATTGCAGTTGTTGAAAAGCTCATATGTCTATCTGCAATGGTTAACTATTTTATTGTTCTAAAACTTTAAACCTCTTTCACTCAGGATGGAGACCATGATGGCAAACTATCATATAGTGACTTTAAGACAGCTGTAGAAGGTGATCATCTTTTGCTTGAGGCATTTGGTCAGTGCCTTCCAACTGAAGAGGTATGGCATTTGAAAGTGATCAACCCAGACTAGATATAGCCTTATATGGCCAGCTATGTATTTATAAATTGGAAATGGGACTTAACAGTGACATCTCCAGAGTGGCTATTCATCCATTAAATTCCAATAGGAATTTAGGAGTTGATTTTGCAGAGGAAGTTAAGCTAGAGAAACCCTCAGAAAAGCTCATGCAGTGCAACAATGGCTTCCCTAGCTGTTAATGTAGCACTTGTTTTCCTCTTATAGCACCTGTATGGGCAAATGCTTGCATATAATAATGATTATATTTTAACTTTAAGGACACAGATAAATTTATTGATGAGTTAAAAGATGACAAGGAAAAGCAAGGAAAAGGCCCATCAAGTTACAAACCAAAGAATGAGAAGAAATAATATTGCAAAAGGGGAAGCAATTTTCCTAAGAACTAGCTAAAATCTCATTTTGCTATTTATATCAATCAGACCTGCATATAAAATTATGGGGAATCATGATTGTCAAAAAAAACAAAAAAAAACCAGGTGATTTTACAAATTATTTTGTGAATCTGTAAATATAACTGTGATATGTAATAATAGCTGCTGGCTGACTTTGCGGACGTACTGGTCAAAATGGCAATGAATGCAGACCTGTATAAACTCACCTATGTAAAGTAAAAGATAATAAAATCTACAACCGACAACAAAATCAAAAGTTTTTTAAAGTTCATTTYATAATTGTTATATGATTATTACGAATGAACCATATATGCATATCTTTTTTAACTTTTGGTTCAGTACAAAAAGCTTTTATTACAAATTTAGGTAATTGTTGATTGTCTCTTTTTTTTTTCTTTTTGCCATTCCATAATCTGTGATGCGACTTAAAATGTGGTTATGCATAAAGTACTTTTATGCGAAGCCTTACTAATATCTCCAGTGCAAAATAAACATCTTATTTGGAAAAAATCATACACTTTTCATTCATCAAACAATTACAATTAATGCATGAATGCAACTAATAATGTGAACTTATACGAGAGTTTGAAATTTGCATTAGGGACCTGTCATATTGTCTCTTGATTATGAATAAGTTTTGCTTCCTTTTTAAACTTTTCCAAATTACTTTTAATACTTCTCACAATTACTGGATGAGTACTGGGTACAGATACTGTCACTGGTAGTTTCTTTGTAACCTTCTGCTTTGTCAAGTTTTGAGCCTATAAAAAGAAAGTATTGATCATTCCATATGATTGCCATAGTAACAGAAAAGCAGATCAAGGAGAGGTATCTCATTCTAGCATCAAACCATAYTATTTTAAAAATAGTATCTGACTCTTGAGTGACTCAACTAAATTAATACCATGCTTCTAATTAACAATTATTACACCCAAGTCAACAGCCCAGGAAGCCAAAGGATGAATGAACTATTCACTTGTATGTCATAAGGACAAGAGGACTAATTGTTTTAGTATTAAAACCTACTAAAAAGTCAAAAATCACGAGAAAAAACCCCAAGAATATGTTGAAATTAGGTTGAAATAATTAATTTATCGTTGTTTTGGTTTTCAAAACCACTACTTTTTGCTACCTAAGTGTGGGTAGCTCAGTTATTGTAATCAGAGCGCAGGGTTCATGATAGACCATTTGTAGGTTTAAACAAAACAAGTTTTAGCCAGATAAATGTACTTGTAACTTTAAGACTAGATCTTTAACTGCTGGCCAATGCAAAATGAAATGGAACTAAGAAATGAAAATCCAAGGATATATATGTACCTGTTATTAAATTGTGCAGGTTACAATAGTTGGTTCCATAATCAAGGACTGCATACCAAACCTCAGATGTAGAATATCCCTATCACAGAAACAGTAGTCAGAAACATAAAATATAGTATTTGGTATTATATTATAGGCTAGCACCTTACTTCAGCTTTAAATATTATGCAACTCAGTAGTTGTGAGCTGCATGCTGGAAATTGGTTAATTTTTTGCTTCCGTCAATCAAAAATAATCAGATGTTGGCACCTTTTATATTTGACTGCATTCTGAGTTGACACTTGATATAGAAAATAGCAAGGTATGATATAATTGTGGTCCTTATTTCAAAAGAAAAAGTTACCAAATATACATTAATGTGGTGGCAAGTCAATGTGCAATACCCCAATTATTACAGTCTATTCCATGTTCCTGCAACCTGACTCCAGACATCTGGCACTTTGCCGTCCATCAGCCAAATTCATGATGGGCTAAATGCATTACTAGTCACCCCGCTTGCAAGTGAAAAATATACCCACAACTTGACAGTCATTTTTGCATGGGAAATAAGCTCCTGTTGAGTGCAGGAACATTCATAGCTCATGATCAAAATGCACCTTGGACCATTGCAAATTAATTTACTAAAGGCAGATGTCTTGAGTGGGTTAGGTTGTAGAAACATGAAACGGACCTTGACCTTGCAAAACAGAGATAAATACTAAGGCCAGTATAACTGTACTCCAACAAAGGACAAACGTCCATCTACAGATGCAAACTTTTTATACAGTTTTCTTGTTGTTGCATTCAACACACCCACATGATGGTTCCAACTTAGAGCTGCTATAGTTGTTATCAGTGAGCCTAGCATAGTATAATCTCAGAGATCACAGGACAACTAACAGTAGGTATTTTAAGAAGTTAACTAACATACTCCAACGAGTAATACCAGGTGTGGTATTTTTACGGTCAGCACAAGGTTATAATTTATTCAATAATTACTTAATTAAAATCCATACCCCAACAGAGCATCCTCCTCCTGTCTTGGTGAAGTTGAAAGTTAAATCATCCTTATAATGCTTGACTGGAGTTTCATGGATGGCTTTTRTTAGGGTGGGACTTGACTCTACTAACTGTTACATACAGATAACAAACAAAAAATATGTAAACAGAAGCAAGAGTGAGTAAGAATTTCAATATCAACTTTGCAGTTAATATTCATATCAAAATGTCAAAGTGACTGACTGGCCTCATTATTATATAGTGTGCACCTCCACCCCAAAGTAACTGGCCAGGACCTGCCCCTCCTTGGTCCTTGCATCGCATCTTTACAGAGGGAATTTTCCTTCCAAAGGTAGAACCTAAACTCACTGATTTCCCTTCCATGCAGTTCGTTAAACTGGATTGAGATAAGATTTGCTAAAACGGCCGTCAGGCAGAGATATCTACTTACAGTGTACAGGCACTTTTCACCACCTTTAGCACATCCCTCTGGACCATTCCATCCCTTGATCTGCGAGATTATCATCTCGTTGACAGTAGTACAGTTAACTTTCCATTCCCTAAACAAAAAATTCATTGAAGATTTTTTTACATCGACAAAAAAAACGCACAAAAATTGGTACTTTGGAACTATCAAGAACTTCAGTTACGTAATGAAACTGACAAAGATTCAAGATTCCAACAAATGCAATATTTACAAGCTACACTTACCACTGAATTTTGCAAGACGCGTGAAGTTTACCATTTGAAATAAAAATACAAGCAGAAAACGCTAAAAACAAGAATAAAGAATAAGATGACAGGCTCGCCATTTTCTTCCGATATCTTTTGGCTACGCAGGTATTAAAGGTTAATTAGCACGTGATTGACGCACTTGGTCACAGGAACATCCACAGGAAGCCCACTCTAAATACCTATAAAAACAAATGCAAATCACAGGCAGCCCAAGTCTGTCTTTCTGAGAAATATACAGGTACGCAAAAAGCAGATAGAAAAGGATGTGAAACAGCAGTCTTTTAAAAAAACTTTTCGGTCTAAATAAAACCTATGGAATGCGTATATCCTGACATATTTTATGTGGCGCACTCAGGATGAAAAAAAAAGCTGGCCGTCAAAATTGATCAGTACTGGTTGAAAACGGACGGCCAAGGGAGTTCCATAGGGAGTATGACTTTGTCGTTTTTAAGCACAAGGGAAGGMATTTACCCATAAGTCTTAGCGAGCGCCGCAGCAACACAAAGTGACAGTATAATCGCTCCATCATTTCTCAGTGGTCCTCAGTGCTCTCAATATTCAACTGAAACATGACGGTTTCACAAAGGGGGTCTGGCAACACCCCTGGATCCGTCACTGATACGCCGATATCATTTATTTTAGCCTCCCTGGGGCCTCAGTTCGTTCTTTCGTCTGTTTGTTTGTTTGTTTGTTGATTGATCTATTTACTTAGTTATTATTTGCAGTCTGAAGCCTGTTGTATCAAAATGCTAAGGTAGCTTAAATTCTTTTCATTGACGCTTTCAGGATACAAACTGAGCGAATGTGTAACACGCGTGTATTGGGCTTCCTGTGTACCGTTCGACCATGATGCAACACGTGCATCTTTTCTATGTCTCATTAGCCGGGCAAGATGGCCTCCAACAACATCGGTAACGATAGCGGTTCAAATTCAGGGCGAGTAGATGTCGATAATCCACCTTTTTCAAGAGTGTTTGTGGTATGTAGTAAGAGGCACACATCCGAAGACATGAGAACAGCTTTTGAGCACTATGGAACCATCGAAGACATTTGGATGGTCAAAGACAAGACGACCAAAGAAAATCGTGGTGTTTGTTATATCAAGTTCGAGAAAGCTTCCTCAGCAGCCCTAGCCTCTGAGCAGCTGGATGGAAAACAAATTGGAGACGATCCCAAACCCATTAAGGTATAGGTTTGAGAAGTTGACACGAGTTTTCAAAGAAGTGTTGTGTGGTTTATCGTGAAGTTGAAAGGGCTGTTGTTGTGTGTAGTAGCGATACGTGTATAAGTTCGGTCAGACATCACTGCACTCCACATGTGGTAGCATGGAACTACATGTGCGCCTTTTTAACAACTTTCCCTTAGGTAATAAAGATATCACCAAGAATCAATATCCTCTAGGATATTCATATGCCTTTTTTTCTTGAACGGCGGCTTTTTCGTATGTGTTTGAAGACTGCTTATACAAAAGTTCACTCCGGGCGTCACCAAAAAAATTCACTTTCCAAAAGCCTRCGAGTCATATTCTTTGGGCTAAATAATTGATGTAGATAACCACTTTCTCGTTGTTTTTTAGAGAAAGCTACTCTTATTTCAGAACAAGTCACTGAGAGCTAAACAATGACATAAATGTCTTTATTTTACAAGTGTTAATTCACTCTACAGTTTTGTCAATAATCTCAGTTTCGTATCGCTCCTTTTTCATTCGTTTTATTTTTGATATTTGTTGCTAATAATTCCAAACGTTGTTTCCAGTAATTAATTTTTAAGTGAAGAGATTTTCTCTTTATATATTGAAGACGCTATATTTATTCATAAGATGTATTTTTATTGCACTATATTTTTTAAAACACAGGATGCAACTCATTTTGCACGCTATTCAATAACGATTGTTTTGGAATTTAGAAATCGTGAAGCAAATTTTCTAAGGTTTAGAACAATAGTTTTTCGCCTTCATTTTCAATCTATTGAAGAAAGTCTTTAAATATTCATCACAAGTCTTTGGTACCTGTATTGTATTAACTTCATATTTTTGTTTGAAGGAATTCGGGCATTTTTCTGTTTGGAAATAAATTCATAAGACAATGGCTGGAAGATATAATGGGACTGTACGCTGGATCAACTTTGCTTAAGTTATTATATATGAGATAAAATAGTATTTTTTTAGTTTGCAGTCACAAAGTGTTTGGCTTTAGAAGGTTATTGTTTCAAGGGGTACTAATGTTTGTTTATTATTTATATGCTTTGTATCTGTTTTCAATAACAATACATTGGTTATTGCAAGGCTTTATTGCATATCAAGTTTTATCCTATATGACAGTACAGTCAATCAATAGATCAAACTAAATAGATCTGAAACTAAATTATAGAATACCAAAGAACAGTGTCACTTTTTTTGTCCACAATATTTTTCTATGGACTGACAAAAAAGAATCAGTTGTGTTGAAATGAAAAGGAAAATTCCAATGGTATATAGTAAAGATACGTGCTAGTAATTTTACTGAAGTCTCATACATTCAGCCCTTCATCAGAGGAATAAAAACTGCTAATTACGGTCCAATTCAACATCTTATGCCTGTCTTCTGTTTTTATGGGCAAGATGTTTTTACAGGCTTACTGCTTTAGAAACAACTTTTCTTACTAGCCATCCAAGGCATGGCTCCCTGGGCATCGATCAATAAAGTAAATCATAGCAAATACTCCCGAAATAGTCCACAAGAATTTAGCTAGCATAACCACAAGTGAAAATTACATGCTTTGATCATTTAAGATCTTTGTTATTGAAGAGGATAGTGAAAAGCCTATCATGTCAAGATGTTATACTTGTTGTCATGGATGTGTATGGATCCTTTAGAAATTGGTCTAGAATTCTCCTTATGGTGTATGAACTAAGACAATGTTATTTGATGAGGATGCTCTTAGAATACCTTTTTTATAATTGTTATTGAGATCAGGCTTTGTTTGGTAATACACTGTAGTTGTGTCAAATATATTTCTCAAAAGCTCATGCATAAAAAGCCAATATTCCTCTTTTTAGTTTCACATGTGTCAATTATTTAAAACATGGTGATCCATATTCTAAACAGTATTTATAAATTATTCTTTCTCCACATTGCATATTATCATCTACCAATATTACTTCACTCATATTTTGTCATACCCAAAGCAAGAATAAAAATGTTACATTATTTTTATTGGTTGAGCCACATCACTAACTTGTCATATACCAGAGTTTTTAAAATAAAATGTTGCACCTCTTTCGATTTATGTTTATAATTAATATTAAATGCAACAATTCTATGGATTTATGACAAAGGAAGTTTCAAAATACTAAATGTTAAAGGAATTTGAAAATTATTCACTTGGAATGATCATATACATCTAGGTATATATGATTAACACTGGGAAAATGATATACTAATGGAGCATGGATGCAAGATGCTAATTTCCTGAAAGTCATATTATCGACTTAATATACAGTTTTGAATCATTTTAAAATTCTTTTCAAAATGTCATGTACTAGCTTTTCTCTAAGATGGAAAACCAAATGCTGACATTCAGTATTATATTGATTTCATAGCAAATTATCTGATGAACTAAAGACTTTTTTATTCTCATTTCAATCTTTCTTAAAATTAGTTATCTTTCTTAAAATTAGTTTATATGTAGTGAATGGCATTATTGAACCCTGTGATTTTTGAAGAAGTCTTTTTTAGAAAATGAAAAWATATACTTTTGTTTGCTTCATATATTGTATTTCCCTCCTCCATTTTGTTTCTGTTTCAAAAGTCAAAGGGAGTTGACAGGATTCAAGGTATAAGTAAACAGCTGGTGAATGGCACTCATTTTTCTTTTCACCTGCTTTTCTCTGGCAACATTTGCCAATATACTGGTCAATTTGCAGATAAATTTTTTTAAATATTTCAATTGCAAAGTGAGAAAAATACAGGAGGTGAAATTATTGAGTGTGACGCAGCACAAGCATAGGAAAGGTCTGGAAAAATATTTTGTCATGTATAGTAAAGTATAGGAAAAACTGATTGTAAAGTATAGTTAAGTATAGGAAAAATACTAGAATTGTCACAAGTTGACTACTTTTTTTCTTTTCTGGCAAATAAGCCAACAAAAAATGACCTCTCTCAAAGTGAGACGTCACAACGAGTGACAAAATGAAAATAAACAAAGGCAAAAAAAACATAAAAGGGACATACATGTAAAATTAAAATAAGTTTGAAACTTGAAAAATCTCATTTTGAAAATCACATCGACATGATCAAACTTCTTTTAAAAAATTCAAATCTGACCATTGATATAAACTTTCTTTAGAGTAATTATATTTTCTAGATGAGAAATGCTGTTATCTTTTCAACAATGTTTAAATCCTAGCCTTAGGGAATCTGTCACAGTTATATATATATCCATGTGATAATGAAGTGTTTTCCAGCTTAGGATGAAAAATCTTTCAAGTATGCTTGTATAAATTGGTATGAATATTGCATAGTGTTTCTTAAATAAGTAATAAGGTATAAGCCTATCAATTTCAAAGTCTTTCATCGGAAATTATAATGCATCGTTAACAGGATGAATCTTAGACTTTGCTCAAAGTGTTTGGCTTTAGGAATCAACTTCTCTTTTTAATACTGGAGACATATATTAAAGGAAAAGGAATGTATGAAGTGCATATATGTCTGGCACCAAAGAAAGCAAAAGGTGGTGCGTGCTGGACCATGTGTGCAAAACTTTAATGTATCATGTTTTTTCTGAAAATCATTTTAACACTGTCTTCTGTTTTCAAGACAACATACATGTAATAATATATAATAATTCCGTTAAACTTATGGAAATCTGGTAAAAAATTGAATTTTCCGATTAAAAATCTCTTTAAATAATTCTCGACTAGATTGAAGCATGATAAATCCTATAACCTCATGAACATGCCATATTACACTTTAATTTCCCAAGCATTAGTTATTAAAAGTCTAACACTCATTTTAATTATTTTACTCCCAAGATCCATTTAAACACCTTACTAAAGTTTTCATGGGAAAAAACTTAAGTGTAATACATACATCAGTAAAAATATATATATATTCCATGCATGTGGCCAATGACTGTTGTTCTACACTTAAATTGAACACTTGAGTTTATTTTATTTTTCACTTAAATTAACATACTTTTTTTCTCTCTCTCTTCCATCATTTCATCTTCTTGAATAGATTTTTATACAGTAGTCTGACTTTAAAAATTGTATACTAGTCTATTTAGGTTAAGACTGTGGAACCTGAAAATATGAGGCAATACATCTATGAAATCATTGGCAAAAGCATGAATTTCTCTATTATACAGATAACACTTTGGTACAATATTAATTTTAATGGATTGATAATGGTCGAAGAATAGTACTTGGCTTTTAAAGAATATATTTTCTTATTTCCTATATGAATGGCATCACTAGGAGATTTTGTCCTCATCCCATAGTTGTAGAATTCCACTCTGTCGTAAACTAGGGCTTGAATAACTATAATGTGCTTATTTTAGGTTAAAGTTTTGAATGAATGATTGAATTTGGAAGAAGTAGGTTACTAGGCTAGCAGGTGATTGGTTGTAGGATCACTTAACATAGATAATACATTTAAAGTTTCAGTACTGCGTAATTGAAAAGTAGAAAAACATGTTTCCTCTGCTCTCTCATGATCTTCTAATACGCATTACTTTTTTTCCTTTTTTTTAAATTTTAGTATTTTATTTTGTACATGGACATTGACATAAATTTTTCGGGTAAGATTTTATTCTCATACGTTGTTCCCACCAATTATACAATTAAATAATCATAACTAACCAAATCCTACTGATTAAAAACCAATTACATCAACATCATTAATGGAGGAAATATCCTGATATCTTCTTAAATTATCCATCACCAAAATTAGGATACAGGCTTTGTGTCTGTGAGGTCATAAGCACCTTGTTTGAGCGCAGGTGGCCTGTTTTCCTTTGAATTACCTTTGACCATTACCTTTAAATAATATAAGATTTAGTCTAACTCATCAACAGGTATTTAGAATGTGAACACAGTTGAAAGATCCATTTTCATTTGAACACAGCTTCGGTGAAGAGTCTGTAGTTACTCTGCTCTTATTATATCTCTGTGGAGTTTAAATGGTATAATGTGGAATATGAACTTTCACAGAAAAAGGCACATTGGCTTTGGTTTTCATGTCAAGGTACGGTAGTTATTGTTACAGCTTTTACTAGAAGAATGTTAGTTTATTATTCATTCTGCAATGAAAACAAGGCCCTGGTCTCTATTACAAGAAACTATTTTGGAAGTTATTTTTTTCGTYAAGCTAAGCTTTCCATTTTTACTTTTCCCCCTCTTCTCTTATGTAAACTGTTTATAAATTTTGATAAGATTTTTGAAATTAGATTTAAGTTTATTTTTTAAGTTTCTCCATTTTTCTGTTGCCTAATTCATATTTATGCAGTGCAGTTATGTTTACTTATTTTAAAAGAAATATTTCTTTACTATATTTTTATTTTTGATAGGTTTAAAAATATTTTTATCAGAAGTTGTCATGTTCTGTCATCAATTATATTTACTCAATCCTAAATTTAGGAAATATTCTTGCAGCTGATAGTGAAATCTTAAGCTGAATATCTCATAAACTTTATCGTTCCATTCTAGCAATATTATAGCACAATTATAAGTAAATACCCAATCCCTGGGGAAAATCAGATCTGTAAAAATTCTTTTTCTTTTATTTAAATTTCAAAAGAGAATTATTATGTTTAGATATTTTTTTGAAAACCTGGTGATGATTGTAGCAGTAGTGTTGATGAGCCTCTCCATTGAACATGTTATTTGGTGGTATGCACTGCTACCACGGGCACTGTCTCTCATTGCTATGTAGATCATTTTTTGAGTCACACGTTCGACTCTTAACTGAACTGCATATGTTATGTGAGTTTGCCACAAGCGTTTTTCTCTTGGTTCTCCGTTGTTTTCCTTCCATCAAAACCAACTTGTGCGTTGAGTGTTATAATGTAATGGTTGTTCGTATGAAGCAAATCTCAAATAAAAACCCTTTGTGTGGAGTTATAATTGTAAAATATAAGTTTTTTGTAAGTTATGTCATTTGAATGAAAAATTTCAACATTTTGAAATCATTACTTTTTTAGGGTGTTAACATCAGAATGGTTAGATACAATTTACTTTGTTGTTATCCTACTTGGGTAATGAAGAACTCTGAATTATTAAGTACACTGAACCCAATATAGAAATGTGAATAAAACTTTTATTCAACTTGTAAAATTGTATTCTGTTTTTCATATATTTTACACATCTTGTTTCGAAGCAAAAATATATTTATTAACAAAAGGGCTTATGTATAGTTTGAACATAAAATGATGAGCAAAAACACTAAAAGCTAATTGAAAATAATGTTCCTCTTGTAGAGCTTTTTAATTTTTAGTATGATTTAAAAAATATGTGATAGGAAAATTCCTTTGAAAAAATGTGAAACGTGAACAAGATTTGCTTTCCAACTTTTTTGCCCATTAAATTGGAAACTACACAATTTCAGTATATTTGTTAAGCATTTTTTTCTTCATTATCTATTTCATTTGCCAGCAAAATCAGTCCATTATTTTCTAAACATTATCTTATGTTACTTGTATTTTTCCCTTACCTAGAACATTCTGAAGACTTGCATATAAGATTTGATTTTAAGATTGAACAAAGGATAAAGATGCGATAACAGCATGTAGTTATTTGTTATTTCAAACCAGTTCAATATTATGTCATTTCATACTTTGGAATAGTGGAATTAAAACCTGTGGGTGAGCTTAATGTTCTGTTCTCATTCTTCATATGATAACCATCAAATTCAATTATAGTATTAATCTTTTCATTGTCTTTTAATCACAGTTAAATCACAGTAAGACGTTTTAGTACTCCTATTTATCCTACAAAAATTGTTTAGGCAGTAAAGGAAACACAGGAGCTAGAAACTGGAAGCTTTTCAGCAGGTTATACTCTATCAATAGTGCCAAATTGGATGAAATTTTGTTGTTACTTGAGTCATGTGTAGTTAAAATTTTTATTGCCTCCTGAATTATTTATGCTAGAGATCCCTACTCTTATTAAGACTGATTTATCTAGTAGTCAAAATAGAACGAGTTCGTCTAAGGAACACATTAGCAATATACTGCTTTTCTAATGCAAATTCTCTCTCCTTCACATTTACTCAGGGGGCAAAATGTCAGAAATTTGTTGAATTAATGAGACAAAACGTTGCTTTGCCATACCATTTTGCCCACCTGAGTAAACTGGAACAAGAAAAATTGTAATATGCGGATTTATTACAAGCATATTTAAAAATAGATAAGCAATGTGTTGATGTTCGTACATTATAAAGAAATAGTTCTTATTAGTTTTTTTTTTTTTTTAATTTTTAATATTATTATATATTTAGATTCGGCTATATTCCTTCCTATCTTAGTATTGATGATGGCAATGGACCCTTCTCAGAATTATCTTGTGATACTAACATGGAAATACAAAACCAATGCCACAAATTTTATCGAGAAACATCAGGTTTCTTCTCTATTTTCATGTGAGCCTGCCCTGGGATCCAAAAGCTATTTATTGTTGCTCCGGGGTTTGCTGTTTTGTAGGGAAGGCGCTCATCCCGTTATGACTACAGGAAGCGAAATATGAACCTCACATCCAAGAAAATTTTGACAAGGGTCCATTGGATTGCTAATCCAAAAATGCAAACATGCACTTCTATTTTGTTTATTATTACTTATGCATGTGTTGATCGATTCTCATCACATGCAAACTTCTTGTTTCCGCTATGTTGTTAATTTTCAATTTCTCTTTTTAGGCAATGATTGCCCAGTCAAAACATTCAGGTTCTAAAATGGACTTCCACGATCCCACAACAATGACACGTCTGTTTGTAATCTGCCCCAAGGACTACACAGATGACGACTTACGTTCCAAATTTGAGAATTTTGGAGATTTAGAATACGTCCAAATAGTCCGTGACCACAAGACAAGAGAAAACAAAGGCTATGGTTATGTTAAGTTCAACAAGGCTTCCACCGCATCGTTAGCTCTTGAGAACTGCGACAAGGGACTTAAAGCAGTGTGGGCTGAACCAAAGTCGTCTAAAGTCTCCAGATATGCAGCTGTTGCAGCTTCTTCTGTCGCTACAGCGTTTACTCCTCCGAACCCATTCCTTGAGCAAGGGATCTTCTCTGCCACCATTCCACAAGCACAGCCAGCTCTTCATCAACCTATGGAGTTCTTTGCCAACCAGACAGGAGCTAATGCAGCAGCATCTGTAGCAGAATCCATAACATCTTCACATACACCAACCAGGCTGTTTGTCATTGTATCGGTGTCCCTAACTCAAGAGCAAGTAGCTCGTTTATTTGATATTATCCCTGGGATGCAAGTATGTGACCTGAAGCGCAATTACAATACTGGAGAGTCCAAAGGTTTTGCATATGTTACCTATAACTCCGTGGGCTCTGCTATCTATGCCAAGGAAAAGTTAAATGGCTTTGAATATCCACCAGGGTCCAAACTTGTCATTAAATACGCCGAGGACCCCCCATCAGGCCGTACTAACTCAGAATCTGGCTCGTCATATAATATGTTTGGCTCCAAGTCCTCGATTCTTGGTCCCACTTCCGCATCCCCTTCACTTAGTCTTGATAATAGTCAACTGTACACCACTGCAGCTCTCCCTGCACCCGTTCCTCTAGCAGACGAGAATGCGGAAGTAGCGTCGCGGTTGTTTATAGTCTGCAACCCCGCACCACCACCTGAACAGGTATTAAAAGACGTCTTCAGTCGATTTGGTAACCTCATTGACGTGTATATGATGAAAGACCGGAACTTTGGTTACGCAAAGTTCGCGTCCAAAGATTCTGCTGATGTAGCCATTGAAGGACTTCATGGCCATCAAGTCTTAGGAATGAAGCTCAAGGTCATGCATGCCGATCCACCGAAAAATGAGTCTTCTAGAAAGCGACCTCGAACATAAGGCATACCCAAGCAAGCAACCAATGGCCTGTTTGTGTGTTAACTTTCATCAACAAGAAAAGTCTGTGTCTTGCAGGTAATGTACCAATATATAGACTGTGTGAGTTGGAAGTGATAATATAAAAGTGGACAGAATACAACATACTTGGAAATCCCAAACAACAGAACTGTGTTTAACCTTYAGTAGACAATAAACACATGGTCACACTCTCTTGACTTGCCACTCCACACAGACCGCGACGTCTACTCACGACGACAAGAGGTTATGGGAAGTGAACAGACGATACATGACAGTGATCTGGGATGGACTACATGACATGGTGGACTGGAGTGACGTACGGCCTTGAAGGGAGGACAATGGCAATTATGATTACACTTACAGGAACATGCAAACGAGTTAGCACTCTGATTATAATTACGTTGTAAAGGGATTGCCAAGAATTTTAAAACGCTCTGCAATTTTCAGATGAACATATATATGAATATACGTTTAAGTTATTCCATCCTATTCCCTAACAAGTACAAATAAACTGTACATAGTGGTCAAGCCTCGTTATCAAAGCTACGATTATTTTAAAATCCGTTATTCCTTTATTCCTTTCTTATTTGAATACTTATAAGGTTGTTGCGTTGTTTACACTTATATAAAGGATGTTGCGTTTGTAATTAATATTGCATTCCCTGATACAATAATGCATAATATATATTAATAATATTTCGGTTGAGTGAATGTTAACGTTAGTTAGTGTATAAAATGCGAGTTTTAATGCAACAAACATGAAATATTTCTCCAGAACATCACTGTATCGTTCTCGATCTGTTTCTACTTATTGTTCCAGTTATGAAATCAACACTGAATTATCAAAAATCGCAACAGAAACCCCATGAATGTTTGGGGGTTAGACTGAGACAGTGCGCTGCTAATGCGCATTCAGTCCCATCACCCTCCCGTGGGCTCGATCCCGAGTCCCGGGCACGCTATCATCCCTCATCCCCCATCCCCGCGAAAATCGACCCTTATCACCCGAAACAGGTGCCACAGGTTTATTAGCTTCACATCTATTGAGTGCTCGTACAACAGCGCTGTACTTGAAGCCATCGTTTCGCATGGACATAAGTCTCATCTAACAAAAATGAGTGCGTCATGGATCCACACTACTTTGAAAATGTGACGACGCAATTTATCGTCAATAAGAGGACAGACAGAAGAACCTGATGTCTATTTGTTAATTTGAAACGTGAATTTTTTTTAAACGTGTTCCATGCACTTTCACACAGTAAAGCACAGTTGACAATTTGCAAACTATGATTTTAGTTTTTATCTCTTATTCTTCCTCATATCCCTCCTATCATATAGTCCCTCGTATAATTATTCGTTTTGTCCGTCAGTTTCTTGACAGTTCCATTGGCCGTGCATTTCGAGGATCAAGTTTTTCAATCAAATCTTAACCGCGTCGAGATAACGATCTCACGAGCACATGGCCTTACACAATCTTCCAACCCACGCATTTCACTGCTTCTAGTTTTCCATTTCGCGACCAAATCTCATTTTCTGGAACGTTTTCATGGATTTTTTTGGGTAATTTTCTTCGTTTAATTACATGTGTTTTTCTTTTGGAAAAATGAGTAGACTTAAGTGTCGCTAGATAGTTAAATCTTTTATTATTTTCGCGGTTCTCATTTCAGTGATATAACATCAATCTCACTACGTCAGTATATTTTTTTACCACAAACACCCTGGCATTTTCCTATGTTTGTCATTGATACTTAAGGCGACTCCAACATAATTGCCATTGCATTTTGTGTGTGTGTTTTTTTGTTTTTTAATTCGGTCGTATCGCGTCAAAAACACTCGGATATTTTTGAATTTAGCTCGTATAGTAGCTAAAACGTTTAGCTTTTAACGATGTATTCAAACTTTATCTTTGAGTCGCGTTTACGGTTACGAGCTGGTTTTCTAACAGTGGTAAAACAGTTTGTTTTACAAAGGTAGCTCTTAATAGCTAGTGTGTAACAAACCTGTGGCCCTCGTTTACTGATTTTTCTAGAACAAAAAAATAAATTAACCGTTTAGGTTAAACTGTTGTTTTCTATCATTATCTTTGAATATTCCAATGAAAACTTGAACCCCTAGTACTATATTAGAAATTACCCATTCTCAAACCTCGGCCCGCTCGAGTGACTATTGGACCAACAAAGCAAGTACCGTCATGTCGGTTTATTCGCGTTGTCAAAAAGTAATCAATAATTAACGCTGTTTATTGAACATAATCTTCATCAAAGCTTCGAATGGACCTAATCCACTTGGACATAATGTTTTGCCCATTTCAGACCACGTGTCATTCTCTTGAGAATAAGATTCTTTGTTTGAGTTGTATCCATATCATGTGTCTTCTCGTGCACAACCGCTAAACAAAGAAATGATACCCTAGGGAATGACAAGTGTTGTGGAATGGGAAAACAGTGGATTTGGTCCATTGATCAAGAGACCTCGCAGCTCAGCCAATGAATAAGATATGATGTCTTTACTAGTGGTTGGGCTTTGCGCAACRCTATGGTTTCATGAAACCATGTGTTGCGCAAAGCCCAACCACTAGTAAAGACATCATACCACTCGTTCCTGATACTATCTTGTACGTTCTATACAAAGTTGAACTGGCAAAAAAATTAAAAGACGAAGTATAGGAAAGGGTGTCCGCAATAACATCAAACACTGAATAAAGTACCTTCTCAAAAATTTCTAAAATATTCCCCGATTTCCTATTTTGTAGTCTTCATGGGTCCCCCGTCGTTAGGCACAACTGAAATGACAACCAGATTGTGTAGTACTAAAATGAGCCAACAAAAAATTAAGACTGCCTCACATGTGAGATGATATTACTTGACGTACTTTTGTTGTTTCATAAAATTTCTAAAACGTATGCCCACCTATTTTTAACACTCGTAATGACAGCCAGTCTTCGCGAGGTATTTCACTGCATCCAACCGCGCCCACTTGTAGAAGCCAATCCTCTCACGGTTTAACCATAAACTTGGTACCTTTGTATACATATTTGCCTTTGCAAATAACTCAAAGTTTAGTCAAAAAGTACTAATATTATTACGGTGACACCTTGTGAGCATCGTCCAACATCTAAGGCCAACATATATGCTCTTGACAAGGATTAGAGTAGAACATCCTTTTAGCCAATGAATATTTATAATAGTTAATATCATCTTTCTCATTTACCATGACTTGGTTCCTTTGTATACATATTTGCCCTTGCAAATGACTCAAAGTTTAATTTAAAGAGTACCAATATTATTACGGTGGCACCTTGTGAACATCGTCTAACATCTATAGCCAACATATATGCTCTTGGCAAGGATTAGAGTAGAACATCCCTTTAGTGAACATAGCTATCATGACGGTCACTACCTTTCATTCCAAGATGGTCGTCACCTTTCCCTGCACCACTGATCTTGCATGCCACTTTCCTAGCTTACAATTGCGTTCATGCTACTATTTCTCCATCTTTCATACCATCTTGTTAAACTGAAATCATATATGAACATGGCTGACACTTAATTCTAATGGAACTGAATACAACGATTCATCTTTTCACACATTTCAGTTCCGCTGTAAGTAGTAGAACACCGTAAAAGTCTCGAACACGCCCGTAAAAAATTAAAAATTGGGTCAGATTCGTTCTTCCTCAGGCTCTGTCACACATTGGTGAACACTTTCACACCTTGAATTTACTATCTTTGGCCATTTGAACTACCATTTTCGAAGCCTCCGTTATTTTACAAATGTTTGTATAATGCACTGATTGTTTTACTTATCTTTATATAGGTCGATATCCATGGACTGCTCAACAGATGGAATCCAAAGAAGGCCGGTACTGAGATCATTCAGTCATCAACCAAGAAAAAAGCGAAAGTTATTAAATTCAGTTCCTGAATAACATGCAGAAGCAGTATTTTTATACTTCAATACAAGTATTTACAAATATTTGTCTTAACTGAGTATTTAAAAAGAAAGACATTCATGTATATATTATGGAAAGGAAAAAATAGTTTATTTATCAAAATCTGTCGGTTCAGAATTCTTAAGAAAGAATAAAGTATTTATAAAGAATCACATTCATGTATATATTATGGAAAGGGAAAAATAATTAGTTTACCTTATTCTTACTAATTTTCGCGATTTTAGAAAAAGTGCGAAATTTAATACGCGCAAAAAAAAAAAGATTGCGCGAAATTAGTATAGGAAATCGCACGATCTCGAGTACAATTCGGAATTTATAGGTAGACGAGCCTTTTAGGCAAGTCCAATTTGAGAACTTTTAAAAAATCACAAGTATCTACAAATCCCGACATGTACGAGAAGATTGTGCGATTTTTTGTTTATGATACACTCAAAAAAATTGAGCAAATTAATTGGGACTCTACAGAGTACAATTTGGGATTTTATTGTACTCTTTTTTTCCAATCAGAATCGAGTAATTTTGCAGAGCGTATGATAATTAAGTACACGCGAAACAAATATAGTAAGAATAAGGTATTTATTAAAATCTATTGGTTCCACATGTGAAATAAACGGTCGACTTCAGTTTTAAAAGGTTTTTGGTCACTGTTTTAGCCAGGGTCCAGTTGTACGAAGGATGGATAGCGCTATCCGACAAATAAATCTTATCCAGTGGATAAAGTTATTGGATAACTTATCCACTGGATTTATCCAGGGGATTTGGTTTCTGGTTTATATACAGCTATTATTCAAAAAAGGTTGAATACTCTATAGTGCTTACTGAAAGTGCATTCCAATGAAATTTGAAATTCCATTAAATATACAGCAGTTAACTCAACATGTAGTTAGTATATTGTTTCAGATGGAATACACTAAAAATAGTATAAATAATTATTATCAATCTTACTTTAGATAATGGCACTATGACCCATAATGCTCTTTGGTCTTGGAATGCACTATTCAGGCTCCGTCCACACGTGTCCCGAAATGTCTTGATCCGCCCTGATGCACGCTAGGGGCTGGAGGGGTTTATAATATAAAAGAAGGACAAATTCTCTTCCTAAAATAGGAAGTCCAAACACTGGTGTGAAATGCAGCGTTATGAACATTGGGTGTGGCGGAGCGGAGATTACGCAAAGGTTTCCAGGAGTGTCCAATTTGGAAATAATCGAATGCGAAAAATTTCTCTGACTGCCAAATTGGACTCTGCCTACTAYTATATCGGCCTCTTCCAATTTTGTCAGTCCTCGGAATTTTTTTCATTCAAGTATTTCCAATTGGAAAGCATGTAGTCCTATTTCCTATACTGATTTAGAATTTGGTACCATCCTCCATTTTTGGTCCCCTAACGATGTGGACGCATGGACAGCGAAACGAATCGCACAAATACGTCTTCAAATGATCAGTATCCGTTTTGACCAGCTCGGCATTCCTCAAATGTTTTTCAAAATGAGTACAACGCATTCGGATCGTACTGACTGTGACGTTGGAAAAGAGCAATGCAAGCGGTTAGGTTGGCTATGCTGGACCCAAACTAAAATAATTTAATTCGTTGTGGCCGGGCTGGGTACCATCGCATGACCAAATCGGTACTATATGATACAACGCCGTCGTGGAAGTGTTTTCGAAACTATGGTAGAAAAACAAAAAGACGAAATTAACGCATCAAAGTGTTCCCAGTGTCAGATTGAAGCAAGGAAACGTGATTTCGTCTAGGCCTATAGCACATAGCTCTCCAGCAGGCCTTTTCCACCTTTTCATTTCATTTCCCCTTTTCATCTTAGGAAAATACTTTGAAAAAACTGAAATCTGTTTTTTAGAGCTAATAATTAGAAGACCATTTGCAGCCCCCCATACCCTCTCCCCACTTTAAATTACATTTTAGATATGCGGTACATATATACCATACTTGAGCTAGCAGCCCGATTTTCATATATGACCGCCGCGAATGAACAAAAACACTGGGAATTTAAACGATTGCCCCCAGTGCGTTTCCACCTAGTCCTTCCACGCCGCCGGATACGAATCAGCATTAATCGGAATCAGCATTAACTGGCCTCAGCTTGCACCAACTAGACATGTATTCCTATTGCAGATTAATTATATCATCCCAAACTATACTTGACTGATTCCATAAGTCATAGTCTTACCTCGAAAGAATGCCAATGGAAACGATCCAAATTAATATTTCATTTTGACAGGAAAGAGAATTTGGAAATGATACGATAGTTGCTTATATGGTATAAACCGATGATATAATTAATACAAATTAATTTATACAATAAACAAATTCAACAAGTTTTCAAAGTGTGTTTGACCGTGCCGTGGGAAGTGGGGACGATGAGAGAGGCAACGGCTTGTTCAGATCTTGTTCGTCGGGTACAGTACAGTACAGTCGGTACAGTCGGGCCGCCGGTACCCTGAGAGCAGCCGGAAACCGTTCTCCCTTTTCTTTCCCCTTATGTTCGGATTTTTTTGTGGATTTCAAGATAAATTTTACTGAGTTTCAAATATTATGAAGTATAAGTATAAGATATAAGTATGGGATCCTACTGAGACGACGAATGTTCGAACGAGTGAACAGCGGTTTCCCCAAATCATGCGCACTTGAACAAACACGTGCGCGCTAATCGCGCGTCCATTTTTAGTTTTGAAGTAAAAAAAAAGTTCACGAATCGTGAGTAAATGTCAACTTATTCCCCTACAAACCACAGCTGGTTCTTATGACCTGTTAATTCTATGCTGGCCTCCATCTTTATCGGTGGTACGCAATGGTAAAGGCCATGGTTGGAGGCTGTTGTGTTTGCTCGGATGAGCGAGGATGGGACGAAAACCCTTTAGTGTATTGTGATGGACATGGCTGTAATGTGGCTGTACATCAAGGTGAAGAATTTACTGCTCCAGTGTCACGCATTGTTTTCCGTTCTCAATCACTCACTTATTCCTTATTTTCACATCTTTGTAGCTTGCTATGGAATTGTTCAAGTGCCGAAAGGACCTTGGTTTTGTCGAAAGTGTGAATCCCAAGAAAGGATTGCACGAGTGGTGAGTTTATATAAAGCCGTCGAGAATTCTGTGAATATGATTCTTCGAATGTCACATATCACTGATCTGTACCCCGATATACTTTCTTGATTATCAGTTGCTTTTTAGGAATGAATATTCTTATGCTTATTTGTGTTTTCGAGTGAGTAAATACTCTATGAGCGTTGTTTATCATCGTTTATATTATGAAAATTTAATAACGTGTGATTTTGTCAGCACTTGTCACGCTYCTTCTTATAAATCTACTGACATCTTGATACTTTCTACTAATAAATTAGCTTAGTAGTATTTCTCGTATATCATAAAACATCTTTCTCTTAACAATCAAATAAAAATTAGGTTTTTATTAATATATAAGAGGTCACATAGGAATCTGTAAAAAAAAACAGTATCAATCAAGCCATTTAACCTATAATCTAACTTAATCCAAGAGAAATAAAATAGGAGAAAATTTGGGATTGGGGATACTATGTTTGAAATACTATGTCAAGGGAAACTAAACACAGGTGTTGTTTGCTGCTATGAATGCCTCTCACAGGTGCAGGGAAAATGAATATCTCTTAAACCTACTAGGAAAACCTTGCTATGCTAGTAAGTCACTAGCGATCAATGATTGCATTGAATAACAGACGTTACTTGATGCAGGTTCTAAACTTTTTCAGTCCTTCAATATCTGGACTGTAGTCATACTCGCAAAACTTAACTAGTTGCATTGTACATTTTTTTCTTTAAACTTGCTAAAAATACAAAATTTCACTCACATTTTGCAAGATTCCTATCTGCTGCTGTGGTCGGTTCTGGACTTGTGGCCGGTTCTGGACTTAAATGAGTAGGGGTGTTCGTTATTTCTCTCACATGCTTTGAGTTTTTTCCTCTGGGTTCTCTAGTTTTCCTCTCCATAAAAATCAACTTCTAAATTCCAATTAAATCATGGAATAAGGGTCACCGGTTTGTTAGCCACCGGCTATGGACCCCTCTTAAAATTGTCTTCAGTGTGAGACTAACATGGAAATACAAAAGACATGCCACAAGTGCAATCAAGAAAAATGTTTAGCCTCACATCCAGACAATTTTGAGAAGGGCCCATTAAGTTCTACCCTTGTAAAACAAGGATGAGTTATTTTAATTGCTGTACCTTATGCTTTTAATGTTATTTTACAGAAGTGTGAGTTATGTCCTTCAAAGACTGGTGCATTGAAAAGAACAGATACAGGGGGTCAGTTAAAATGATATATTATGATACAGAAACATCATGTATGTTACAGTGTAATTGTATCGTAATTATTAGGCAATCAAGGCTGCAATTACAGCGTACCAGACAATTTTTTAACCCGTCAATAAGTTGTATGTTTAGTACGTTCCCAAACAAAAACTAGTACGCCTAGTYATGCAAATTTTGGACCCATTCTGCATAAACAGAACACATTTTATATACGATAAAAAAGACGGTTCTATGTAAATTTCTATATAAATTTTTGACCAGTTAAAAGTCATCTATTACCATGTAAACACAGCTCAAGTCTCTGTAGAGTACATCAAGCACCTAGATATATATACTCAGTTTACATGAAAGGTAGGGTGATCCTAGTGCTAGGAGTCAGCACACTGTATTATCAGTCCCTATCTTCATATAAATGGGTACTCCTAAAGCCTCTACATCAAGTCAGAATTTTGTTATGTTATGATGATTGCATTAAATCAATAATTTTCATAATTATTTTGATGCATCTCAAGACCCACTTCACTAGTGTTGACAAGGGCTTCCTAAATATTGATTAGCACCCACAATACAATGCTTGGGACCCAAATGTGAGCAGTAACATGGKAGTTGCTTAATTGTGTTGACAAGGGCTTCCTAAATATTGATTAGCATCCACAACACTATACTTGGGACCCCAATTTGAGCATTTATGTGGGTCCCAAGACCCAGAGTTCAAAGCCTTGCACAATTAATATTAATATTACCATCACAAAAACAAAGTCTAGCTCCCAATGAACTATTAGTCTCATATTAAGTATCATCTTACAATGTAGCATGATAATCAAATACCCATGACATAACAGATGATATAAGCCATGACTTCTATTGTTTAGGTTGGGCCCATGTAGTATGTGCACTATACATCCCTGAAGTTCGTTTTGGTAATGTGACCACAATGGAGCCCATTATTTTAGCATCAGTTCCACATGATAGATACCTCAAGGTAAGTTAGCCTTATTTAGTTTTTTGAATCCTCTAATGATGGTTTTTAACCATTCCCAAGAGAATTAAATAGCAAAAGACACGGCGGCCATGTTGGAGGATATAACAAAAGAATTCATTGACAATTCTTTTGTTAAGTTCCTCCAACATGGCCGCCGTGAAAACCATCAATACACCAAATTGAAATATGGCAGCCAATATGAATAGCTATTGTTGACTGTCGATTGGCTAGCTTCATGTTCACATGGAAACATAAAAGAATTTTCACATTTATGAGAGGCTAGTCAGTCTCTAGTCAATCCAGGACAATAGTTATTCAAATTGGACACCATATTTTGATTTGGCGTATTATTTGGCCTAAAGCTGACAATAATGAATGCACAAGACGCTACTAACGAAATAATTTCACTGTTAGCATCTCAAAAATAACAATCAATCATGTTTTGAATTTCAGTTTACTCACATGACAAATATTTGGAGAGCTCCAAATGGTCACATGAGCTAACCAAAATTCAATCCGTAATCAATCTTTACTGTGCAGTTGAATGATTTTGTTAGTATATGATTTGAAAAACTGCAATGCACCATTTAGCTGGAGGCAACCCTAAATTATCCACAGAAATTCCTAAAAGGGATTATTCTTGTGATTAGTATTACTTGGTCATGTATTGTGATGGTATGTTTTGATATCTTTGGTTAGAACATGATAGTAAATATTGCCCAACTCCATAATACATCTCATCTTTGATAAGATGGCAGAACGATAAAATCCCTTTAATCTTGGGAATTGAGTTCTTTCTTATGTTAAACGATAGTATTGATCCTGCCGTCACGTGGTGGTGCAAAACCTCTATAGCAGGTTTAGCAGTGATAGGGTAGTAAGTATGAGTAATTTGGGTATTTTCTGAAGCACATCTTATTATTTCAGATGTGTTATATATGTGAAGAAAGAGGTAAAGAAAGCAAAACAGCACATGGTGGGTGTATGAACTGCAATAAACAAGGATGTAAACAGACCTTCCATGTTACCTGGTAAGTGTCTGGAAATAGTCCACTTCCCAGATCTTTAGACCACTTCCTCAATGAAGCTTTGTTTTCATACACTGTGGTACCTCAATTTCAGTACCATTATTAACCCCTCCCCTCCCTGGGATCCTAGCAAAGTTCTCACTCCAGTTACCAACAGTTATCTTGTTTTTTTCCATAACATCAATGGGGGAAAAGCAGCAATACTAAGACAATGATGTGGTAGATTATTTAGAGCACCGGTTCATTCTCAACAACCAATTTTTTGTATAATTACAATCACCACCAACCAGGGATTATAGAAATTACATGTACCAAAGGTGTAAAATATATACATCTGGGGTAGCTAGCACAAATTTGTATATACCCCTGCTTAACAAGGTGGACAGGTATCACTGTTAGAATTAATCAGACCTGTATTGTTCTTTTATTTCAGCGCTCAGAGTCGTGGTTTTCTTTGTGAAGAAAATGACGGACAGTCTGGTCATACTGTCAAGTATGTTGGGTATTGTCAGTTTCATTGGAATAAGAGGGTAAGAATACTCTATGACATGTGACTGACTATCGACATGCTTTAGGTTGCACAATTAGTGTCTTAGTGTCTGTATGATCCTGAATATATTCAAATAAGTAAATGAACAAAGAGACTTTGTTTATCCCTCCTTTAGTAAAGTCAGTCAAGGGTGTTGTCTTGAGGGGTAATCCCTCATATAGAAGGGTGAAGATGCTAGTTGAAAATTTAAAATGAGCCCCAATAGGTACCTGGTTCTTGGCCAGGTGAAATGTCAACTAATTACTTTTATTTTCATCACATCAGAAGGTGCATAAGGCTATAACTCTATTCATCAAACCTATAACACTATAAAGCTTCCTATTGGATCTTTGGTTTGCTGTCATTTGGATCAGCCCAGAGGTTTTTTAGGGGTTCAATAAGATTGAAGGGTTTTTTTCTAAATAGTGTCACATCAACATTTAGAGTCTGAACAGACAACCATGTTTGTCATAAATTTAAAAATTTTTGTTTTTGACATTGGTTTACAGAACAAAGGTCTGTTAAACATCAAGACACCAGAAAAGGAGAAACTGAAACTAAAGTGGGAAAAAGAAAAGAAACCAAAGCCACGAACATCCAGTGAGAGTCAGCCATCAGGCTCCCAACCTCAGAAGCCAGACTCCACCCCAAAGTCTTCACCTATTTCCTCATCCTCTACCTGCATGCCAAGCACAGCACCAGTTCCTTCTTCACCTGGGGCACCCCTTCCAGGAACACCCAAACAGAGAGGTCGCAAACCATCAACTGTAAAGACTCTTCCTGGAAATGCCAGTGGAAGTGGTACTAGTAGTTCAGTCAATGAAATCCAAGCAGAAATTAGCCAAGAACAAGAAAGACCAGGGGTTGTATTGAGCTCACCTACAGTTAGTACAGCAGCATCTCCTGTACCAAGTACTGCAGTAGCAAACTTAATAAATAACCTAACGATTAGCTCTTCAAGTACCACAACTGGAATTACTGAGTCAATATTTGCTCCTATACCTACAACAGCTCCTAAAAATGGAGGCCAAATTTCTTCAAAAAACAATTTACCAGTGACATCCAACAGTATAGCTCAGCCCACTCCTACCCCACCCCCTGTTAGTGCCCCCATACCAAAAACAGTGACACAACCTAAACCAGCAGTAATTAAAAAATCAGTAAACCAGACAAAAAACACACAGGGTCCAAGAAAACGAGCAAGTAGTAAAACAGAGGATGAGCCGAAACGAAAGGTTGGAAGACCACCTTTAAAGAACAAAGGAGCAGAATCTAAATCAAAGCTATCTCGACCAGCCTCCACACCAAAGCTATCTCGACCAGCCTCCACTCCTAGGCAATCTAAATCTAAATCGCAAAACAAAAGCCAAGAGGCAAAGAGACCAGTCATCACCTCTCCAACTCCAGTTAATCTAAGTTCAAGTTATCCTGGATATCCCATGAGTAGTATGGCAGAAATGTCTTCTTCTAGTCTAGTATCTGTATCTAGTGGTATGCCACCAGCTAGCAGCCATGGAGTAACTCCATACGTAATCCCTCAACCACATCTTGCAGGGCAGCTAGAGAATGGCTATAGCACACAGGAGTCAAATAGACAAACCACCAATGGGCCCTTGTGAGTAATTCTCTTCATAATATTCTTTTTATGTTTTCATGGTACGGATCCACCACTTAACACTTTTTTAATTGCTACCCACCAATCGAGTCAAGTGAATTCCGATCATGAGCAATAAATATTCCCCTTAACTTGAGGGCCATTTTTCCATGGGAAAACATTTATCACTCGCGATTGAAATGCACTTGGCCCTGGGAAATTTGATTGGCAGTAGCCAAAACTGAAAAAAGGGCGCCAAAAGTCTGGAGTTGGTAAGGTCACAAAATCATGAAACGGGCTGTAGTCGGAAATAGACTACCATCAATCAAACAAAAAAGGTAAAAAGTACATACTTTAACAATTTATTTGATTGACGTAGTCTATTGCTTGTTAAGCTTTTGCAATTTTTGTCATAGTTGATGTGTAGCAATAATACAGTGAGGAAAATGCGGCAAGCTTCTTGGCTAAACCCTAGTTGTAAATTTAATAGGTGGAAGTTAGCACAAATGTTCTAGTATTGCCAAGTCTTTCAACAGCCAACCTTTTTTTAGCAGCCAGCCAGTCCCTGTGAGGGTTTTTGTGCTAATTTGTACCTTTGGTCAAGCGGACAACCTCAATTTGCTTGCCAGTTGGAAGCTTCTCGTTTTGAGTTTTTGCACTAAATTGTATCTCTGTTAAAGGGCCACTTGGACGAAAATCACTCCAAAATTAAAACTCTTTCATTCGAGCTGGAACTTTGCCGAAATATTCTTGAATACATTAAGAACCACTCACTAAAATATTTTTCTGATATTCGAAAGGAAAGGGCCAAAACTTTACGATTTACTTTCGTCCACCATTATTTCTTTGAATCACAGAATTCGGCTCAAGAGGATTTCAACTCAGGATTATATCAGCAAAGTTCCAGCTCGAATGAAAAAGTTTTAATTTTGGAGCGATTTTCGTCCAAGTGGCTCTTTAAGCAGAGGGTGGCCATTAAGAGTACAGAAGGCAAAATTACTTGTTTACAGGACACAAGAAAACTGAAAACAAAAAAACAGGGGAAACCCCTCTTTGCAAGAAGACAACTCTACACTGAACCAAATGAACACACATGAAGGACTTTGCATTCAAATATTCTGTACACGACAGAACTCTTACTTTTCTTACTTTTATGATGTCAAGAATAAGATATCTCAATGAACAACCTCAACAAACAGACTCGTATCCCATTGGCGTCCATAACATTGATGGTCGAATGTTGTACAATTGTGCCTCTCCTTGATACGCATGTGATGATATTCAATATTTCCTTATCTAGGCAACTCCCTAACAGTTTAGAACAGTTACTAGAGTACCAGTGGGAACAAGGTGCTCAGTTCCTGATGCAGCAGGCCTCACAATACGATGGTGAGTTTCAAACTGGAATAAACTATGCTATAACGTGGTACAAGTAAAATAGAACATGATGTTCCACTTCCCATTAAAACAATCAAATAAGCAAACAACGAATTCTATCGAACCCTGAAATAACCCCTGGGTTGATCTAAGTCAGGGCATGGCTAACTCACCGATCAAACCCTGAAACAACCTCTGGGCTGATCTAAGCCAGGGCATGGCTAACTCACCGATCGAACCCTGAAACAACCTCTGGGCTGATCGAAGTCAGGGCATGGCTAACTCACCGATCGTACCCTGAAACAACGTCTGGGCTGATCTAAGTAAGGGGCATGGCTAACTCACCGATCGAACCCTGACACAACCTCTGGGCTGATCGAAGTCAGGGCACGGCTAACTCACCGATCGTACCCTGAAACAACGTCTGGGCTGATCTAAGCCAGGGGACGGCTAACCCACAGACCAAAGAGGAAGACGATTTAGATACCACATTAGTAATCCAGCAAACGTCATTTGCCATCTAGTAACAGTCATGTGATTATTTCCTGCAAATTGCCTATTGAGCCTGAAAACCCAGAGGTGAGAAGCCTCTTACACTTAAGCTGACCCAATTTACCATAACTTTGACGTGTTGTCATTTTTTCCAGTTGCGTCTTTAATGTCAAGTCTACATCAACTAAAGGCTGACAATACTCGACTTGAGAGTCGCCTGGAGTCTCTGATGTCAAGAAGAAGTCAGCTCTTGCAAGTCAGTTCTCGTTTAGCAGCACCTATGTCTTGTACTCCAACAAATACTTCAACTACAAATACAGATACCTCCAACAAGGAACCCACAGGGACTAGGACGACATTTAGTGTTACTCAGTCCATACCTACTGCTACTTCAACGAGGACATCGGCTGTATCGACCAGTGGTGGATCTACGTCAGTTAGTGTTTCAATAGAAAAGTCTTCACCATCAGTATCTAAACCAGAACCCATAAAAGCTGCACCAAAGAGTCAAACTCCACCTTCATCAACCAATAGCATATCAGAAAATAAGCCCACATCAGCCAAGACAAAGAACGACAAAAGCAAGTCTCCACCAATAAAAGTCACTATGACTCCCCAAAATATGAGTGGAACTTTGCTGACAGTTCCTATAACATCGAAAATGGTGGCACAAAAGTCTGTAAATCTTCAGCCAAGTCAAATCAAAGTTAGCATGGTAAAGCCTCGTGTTACGCAAGGTGTTGCTGATAAGGATAAACTCAAGATTGTTTCAACTGCTCCTCCGATAGCCATCCTGCCAACACTCACGAGTCCACTGGTACAGAAACAGCAGTTGCAGCTGCTGCAACCTCAAACCAAACAAATGACACAGAACAAGACCAGTAAACAGCCGCATATCCTTCCCCATCAGACGCTCACATCTCAAGCATTCGCCGCACAACAGTTCCCACAGCAACAGCAGTTTGTATTGCTGATGCAACAGCAGCAACACCTCCAGCAACATCTGCAGCGGCAGGCCCAAGGTGCCTATCAGTCAGGTCAGAACCAATTAGTATCCTCCCAAGCCCAAAGTAGTAAGGGAACCGCATCACAGAAATTTGTTCCTACACCGATGTCCCTTGGATATCAGGGCGGTTTTGTTACCATAAGTGATGGATTAGGTATTGCTGGACAGCCTATTGATGTATCTAAAGGTTTCGCGACCTTGCCCTTGGTACAACTGGAGAAAAACAAGGTTTGTATTGCTGGCTTTCCTTTTACTTTTAGAGAAGTCATCAAAGCCTTTCAAAAATGCTTTGAATGCAGCAAAAGGAAATATTTCAAATATTTTATTTATATATATATATATATATTAGTAGTTCCCCTTCGGCCTGATGTCAAAGGAATTTTATAAGTATCCTCATCTGATCTTAGGCAATGTATATACCGTGCGACCGTCTTCCAAGAAAGACGTTTTGGCGTTAAGTTCTAGCAGCGATATTATAGACCTTTAGCAACAGGGTCCGGTTGTACGAAGGGTGTATTGCGCTATCCGACGAATAAATTTACTGGATCAAACAGCATCGACTTATCCACTGGATAAGATTTATTCGTCGGATAGCGCCATTCACCCTTCGTACAACCGGGCCTAGGTTTACCGCTAATCGCTAGGAATCAGGCCCAGAAACACGCCCGCAAAAACGGAGCAACACTTGGGGTCGATTAAATTCAATATGGCGGCTCTTCCAGCAACAACTTCGCTAGGGCGCCTTGTTAAATGTCGAAAGTTCGAAGGAAAACGCCTGACGTCGAACTGCAGTTTGCGGTACCCAGCACAAAAACGTTCTTTTCTTTCTGCCTGGAGTAGCTGCACAGCATCAGCATAGTGCCACCAAGTTGTTACAATAACTTATTTCAATATTTCGTATTTTGTTTGTATTCATAGGCGAACGATCACTCGGATAAGAATGGAACAACATCCACCAGTGATAAATCTTTATTGAAAAACTCGTAAAATAAGGATAGCAGCATTTATCACTTATCCAAGAATCTCGTTTGTAAACATCTGTAAAGAAGATGAAAAGATTCCTAAGCGGGGTATTAGCCATTGAAGCAGTAGCCTCGCAAGTACAGTGCCCTTTGAGTGGACAGCATCAGGTTTATTAGCTTGGATATCGAGAGCTACTGCCAAGTAGACGTTTCATACGCTTTTAGACGAAAGGCTTTAGCCCTGGAGCTCAATACGTTTTACAGCGTGTTGGCTTAACTCGGCTTTGCAAAGGTTTTGCGATAGGAAAGATGGGAACTTAATGTTCGCTGACGACGTTTCATACAAAATCATAAACTGTTGAACATAAAATGCTTGTGCGGTGGAGTTCAATGAACTTTGAAGCATCTTTGCTGAACTCGGCCTTACAAGGTTTTTTTTAACTTAGGAAAGTGAAGACATCGTTCGATGACGATGTAGTCGTTCCATACGAGACCATAAGCTGTTACACAAGAGGTTTGGCCATGGAGTTCAATGAAATTTGAAGTATCTTTGCTGAACTCGGCCTTACTAGGTTTTTTTTAACATAGGAAAGAGTAGACATCACTCGATGACCACGTAGTCGTTCTATACGAGACCATAAGCTGTTACACAAGAGGTTTGGCCATGGAGTTCAATGAACTTTGAAGCATCTTTGCTGAACTCGGCCTTACTAGGTTTTTTTTAACATAGGAAAGTGAAGACATCACTCGATGACCACGTAGTCGTTCTATACGA